GCTCAGTAGAATAAGTGCTTCCCTGGCAAGTGCAAGGGCCTGAGTTAATCCCTGGTTCCGCCAAAAAAAAAAAGGTATTCAGTGAAAAGTTACCCCCATCCTGTCCCTACATCTTTATCTCATAGGTCCCCTTCTCAGAAACTGCCACTGAGCTGGTGTCTTGAGCATCCACCCTCCTTCCCCTTCCCACTCCACCCCTAACTGAAATCCTAAATAGTCCCCTTCTGTCTGCTGCTGTGTAACTTTTTAATAATAAACCTAGCTTTTATTGATAGGTATAATGGTTTCATACATTTGCATCTACAGTATTACAGTATCTTTAAAAATATATATCTTTGTGTAAGGTACCTATAGAATCTTTAGAGATAGAGTCATAAGATCAAAAATGAGCCGTTTAAAATCTAATAGAAGTCAGTATGGTGGCACATGCCTGTAATCATAACACTCAAGAGCTGGGGGTGTAGCTCAGGGAATAAGTGCCTGCCTGACAAGCACAAGGTTGAGTTCAATCCCCAGTACCACCAAAAGAAAAAACATCACAACACTCAGAAGGCTGAGGAACAGGGATCATGAGTTCAAGGCCAGCTTTAGTGGCTGTGTCTTTTAAAAAATGGGGGAGGGGGAGGGGAAGAGGATAGAAATGGCTAGATATTATCCAGGCTCCCTCTAGGAAAGTCCTAGTACAGTAGTTTATAATCTTATTCAAGTGTATACACTGTGTCTTGTCTCTTTAAACCCAGTGGACCCTTGTTGCCTTCCTCCCTGCTAGGTTCATCCCACTGGGCCCTCTAGCTCCAATCTCTCAGAACCAGAAAAGGGGGAGAGGAGGACCTGGACTATGCCTCCTGTAGCTGTTGCCCTGAAGCCTGTGTTGCAGCAGAGCCGGGAAGCAAGGGAAGAGCCACCTGGAGTGCCACCTGTTGACTCCAGCCACTCCCCAGACCTTAGCCTCCTGCTGGGCCCCTCTTTCCAGAGCCAGCATTCCTTCCAGCCCCTGGAACCCAAACCAGACCTCACTCCACCCATAGGTAACTGAGGGCAGAAGTCACTGAGGTGCACTGATTGATTGGGCCCCTTCCCTAGCTTCCTTTCTGGTGGGTACCTGAGCGTTTGGTTTCCCAGATGCCTTAGTGATCGTAGGTTGCAAGGAGAAAGAAACTCACTCACATTGATTTAGGTAAAGGGAGTTGAGAGCTCATGGAAATATAATGTAGTACAGTTTAATGGACTGAGAATGTGGTTGCCATTGGGAACTGAGAGCTGTCCTGTTTGTCTTTGAGTCTGTATAGCAGGTTGGCTGGCTTGTCATACTCACTTGCTCCTTTTTCTTGCTAAGCCAGTATTCTTTCTCTCAAGGTTTTTGTTCCTCAGAACTTCAGTTTGTGTAAGGGTTTAACCAGCCATCATCTTGACACTAGCTCAAACTTGAGGTGTGTATAGAGACATATCTCAATTTCTAGTTGTCACTTTGATGGAAGTACAAACATGACAACCTAGAGTGAAATAATTATTTGGGTGAAGGTTGGCATAGTGGTATATGCCCGGAGCCCCAGCTAATGAGACAGGAGGATTAAAAGCTTGAGGGTGGCCTGGGATTCATAGCAAACCCTGCCTCAAAGTAAAATTCTAAAAAGGCTAGGGTTGTAGCTCAGTGGTTTTGTGCTTTCCTGGCATGTGCCAGGGCCTGCATTCCAACAGCCAGTACCCCCTTCCAAAATGAGTATTGCAATGTATTACAATTTTAAAAGTATGTAATAATAATAATAATAGATTGAGAAGCATATTATAGCGAAGAGGCAGAACAAGTCTGTTATTTAAGAAGTTTATTGTACTATTTGTTTAGTTTGAGTGCCTCTGATTTCTAACACTTGGGTATTAGAATTCAGTTGTGCCATTTGCCAGTCACCTCCACCCTTTCTCACTCAGCTCTGTTAAGCTTTCCCCGTCATCGTCCCCTAGCTGTGATGCCCATCTACATTTAATAATATATTTTCTTTTGGGCATTTAGTAAGTGGTTTATGGAGGGACCCCTTTCTCCTATAACACATGCACATCCATGCCCACCTATTTTGGTTTATAGCTGAAGACTTCTCTACACTTGAGACCTTCCATCCTGATCAGAGGGCAGAACGGCTATTACCTGAGGAAAATCCAGTGTCTGAGGGAGATGGCTTCCTAAAGCAAGGGCTGCCACCTGTTTCTCAGCTGGAAGGCCTCAAGAATTTTTTGCAGCAGGTAAGTTGTTGTATTTTAATTCTCTTTCTTTTTTTCTCTCTTTATTTGATGAATCCAGGACTATAGCTTCTCTTTAGGAATAATTCTTTGTCCCAGCCCCATACTCTCTCAGTCTGTCTCATTCCTAGTATACAGTTCTCTTCTGGAACTTAGGCCACTAGCAATTTACCAGCCTCTGATACCCTCAAGATCTAGTTCTCTCTCTTTACTAGTCTTTCAGAGAACCTTACTTTCTTGTCCCCCCAGCTGCTGGAGACGGTACCCCAGAATAGCGAGAGCCCCTCAGTTGACCTGTTGCCTACTAAGTGTGGTGAGTTCCAACTCTGAAGAAGACTGAGGTGGTCCTGGAAGAGGTAGGAGTTGATGATTAGGATGAATGGTTAGGAATTGCTATGTGGGAGAACTTCCTTAGCTTTGTCCTATTCTTTTTTTCTTTCTTTTTTTTTTTTTTTGCAGAACTGGGCATTGAACTCAGGCCCTTGCACTTGCCAGGGAAGCGCTTATTCTACTGAGCCATCTCCCTGGCCCCCTATTCTTCTCTCTTGAATCTCTTTCCTTTTTCTAGGTCCCAGGACTGTGCCATCTTGGGAGGAATCCTTTCAAGTGCCACGCCTTCCACCTCCTGTCCATAAAACCAAAGTTCCTTTAGCTATGGCCTCCAATCTCTTCCGAGTCCACGAGTTTCCCTCTTCCTGTTCACAAGGCAATGGTCCCAGCACTGGCTCCCCAGAGAAAGGTAAACAGACCTTGGTTTACTGGGGTCTGTGGTGGGTCCTGGATATGAGCTCTAAGGCCCTCTGGAGACCTAGGCAGAAGGGAGGAAGGTGGGAGAGGAGTCTTAGGGCCATTACTGTCATGGATGTGTGTCTCAGGTGCAGACGGGCTCAGCTCCTCACGGCAGCTGATGGAGGTGTCCCAGCTGTTAAGACAGTACCAGGCCCGGGGCTGGGAGACTCTGCCTGCTGAGGACCTGCTGCTGTACCTGAAGAGGCTGGAACATGGCGGGTACAAGCCTGGGAGGAATCTGGATTAGGGAAATGACCCTGGCAGGATAGAGGGTGTGCGGATGTCATTCACTGAGTAGTCTTTTGGCCTGTTCTGGGGAGAAAAGTGAAAGATGAGATATAGACTCAGAGTCTTTACTTACTGTTCCTTTCGTCTCTTCCACTGCTCTTTTCTTTCTAAAACAACAGACTTCCTCCCCATGTCTCTGTAACTTAGTATTTTTCCTCTGTTTACCTTGCAATTCAATAGTCAGGATTCTAGTTTATCTAATGTAGCTCATTATTTGATTCCGCTGTTGTCTCATTTAATCCCCAGCTCCATTGTATTTGTTCTTATTTAGGAGTCTTTCTTCCCATCAGTTTTGGGTAGAATAGGGCTGGGCACCTTCCCTGTCCTCATACCCTGATTTGTGTGGCAGGACTGATAGCCGAGGGGACAGTGTTCCCAGAAGGAACCCAGACTCCCGCTTGGGTGAGATTGCCCGGAAAGAGGTGAGGGAATATCAGGCAGGGACTAAGGGTGGACAAGGCTCTCACTGGCTGCTTCCTTCAGCCTCTTCCTTTGTCTCTCCACTGCCTGTGCTTCTCCATTGCCCAGCACCACCTGTTTCTGGTCTAATAGCTCGAGTATGGACTTGTGGTGCTTGGCTGTGGGTGCAATGTGGACTCTTTGCCCCGTGCTGATTGGTTTGGGCCCTTTCCATGCACCATGCCTTCCTCCATCCAGTGGGGGATTGAGAAAATCGGACCTTTATTCCTTCTTCTTTCACATCTCAGATTCCTTCCCAGGCTGTCCCTCGCCGCCTTGCTGCAGCTCCTAAGACTGAAAAACCTCCTGCTCGGAAGAAAAGCAGCCACCCTGCTCCTAGCAGCATGAGGGCCCGAGGGGGTATCTGGAGATGACCCACTGCCCTTCCTTCTCCTCTCTGTTCTCTTCTGGTGGTTATTTTAATAAATGCCAGGTAGTATGTATTAGAGTATCTGACTCAGAGCAGTTTGGAAAATGGAGATTTTTGTAGGAAACTACTTTGTAAAAAAAACCTCTTTCTGTTTGAGTATGTTGTTGTTTTTTTTTATATATGTTGTGTGTTTATATGTGTTATTTCCTCTGGGGGGAAATCATATTTGAATGAGCTAAGGTTCAGTGTTTAAAGAGGAAAATGTACTGTCAGTTAACTGATTGATAGTGGAATCATGGATAGTTATTTCTTTTTTTATACGTTTTTGTATTTTCAAATTTTCTGAAACAAGTATGTTACTTTAATAAGCACAAAAAAATCTTTTAATAAAATAGTTACTGTATAAAATGCTTGAGTAAAAATGTGGTTGTTGGGGAAGGAGTTTTGTTCTTTAAGAGTGGATAATTCTTGTGGGTTCACTGGGAGAATTCCTATTGGCAGAATCTGCCCCAGCCAGTAGATATGTCAGGGCTGTAATCTTCACTATTTTGCACTTAGGATGGGTACAAGATTAACATGCTGGCAGACACACGTGGGCGGGGGAGTCTCCAGATACTTCTGTGCTGATACTCATCAAGCAATGTGAAGGAAGACTATGACATCTACATGAAGCTAAGAAAAACCTTAACTTTGAGGTACAACACTGAAAAACACATTATAGTTTCAAATAGACTGAAGGAGGAAAACAGCTCAGCAGATTAAAGCACCTGCAAGCAGGTGCAGGGGCCATAGATTTGATCCCCAGGCCTGCCGTGCCAGCCCCGCCCCCAGTGCACCCTGAGACAGCAATTGAGACTGGGCGTGGTGGCGTGCCTGTAATCCCAGCTCTTGGGTGGCTGTAAACAGGCAGATCACTACCAGTCCAATCTAGTAGTGAGACCCTGAACACCCTGTAGACCCTTCCCTA